AGGAAATGTTTCTCTGGCAGATTTATTTGTTGTTGCATTTGTTGGTTTTAAATGGGATTTGTTTGAAATTGCTGGAAGCTTTGGAATATGGAAAGTAACCGCTGCAATGAATTTGGTGTTTGTTACTGTGACTTTGGCAATTGATTCCAGTCATGGCCTACCTTGGGGTGTATCTAGACTACGCTAGACTTTCGAAAGAGGAAATGCAAATTCTGCAGGAATTTGCATATATTCTTTCGAGCTCACTTTCGAAAGTGGCACTTTCGAAAATGGAAGTAATTAAGACGCGGTTTTGTCAGCGAACCCTCCCGTTTGTTGACAAGCTGCTTTTCCTGAAAACGTGAGGTTTACGCGGCTTGTCGATAAATGGGAGGGTTCACTGACAAAACCACGTCTCAATTACGTTCACTTTCATAAGTGCCACTTTCAAAGTGAGCTCGAAAGAAGATATGCAAATTCACGGGGAATTTGCATATCCTTTTGAAAATCTAGCGTAGTCTAGATACACCTCCAGGGAAAGTCTGTTAGATGAAGGTGGTGGAGTGATGTGTTATTGATAGACATGTAGCCCACGGTTCAGTGTGGTTCACCAGTAGCCCTGGAAGTTACAAGGTGTAGACTACAAATTGGCATGTTGAGAGAATTTCCTGGTGTCTGCAAGGGTGTACTCTACCCCCTCCTTCCAGCAGGAGAATTCAGCACTAATTGAGTTGGGGACACGAAGCAAGCAAGCAGAGAGGAGTCTGCTGAACTGTAATCCTGTTCTGTGCCCTTTAGGCTTAAGGGCTTAAAGAGTACCTTGAGAGGAGTTTAAATGACACAAAAGAGACCAAGAGTTTGGCAGTTTTTAAGGTTAATTATTGTGGGAGTTAGAACATTTACACAAGTGTTAACACTGTTCTCAGAACAGCATAGAAAACACACGTCTCACTTCGCTGTCAGGATGGAATGAATCTGTCATTGAGAGACTGGTTGAAACTGAGCTAGGGTAATAAAAGGGTTAGAGAAACAATGGAAGCCCTGAAGACTGAACAGTCTATGCTCAATAGAGGGAGGCTCTGGCAGGTGCAGTTGTGAACACAACATGGTCCTGACTGGAGACAAAGATCTGGGAATGGTCTTCTGGCAGAGGCTGGCTGCTCTTGCCTGGGACTGACTGAGGTCAGACTAGATGGGAATCTGCTACAGTTTGGCTGGAGAATTATGCTGACTTGGCCAAAGGGACTATGTTTTAGATTTTATTTCCTTGTGCTAGCATAACGACTTCCAGTGCTAGGCTCAAATTGTCAAATAAACCCTGCTCTGTTTTGAAAATGCTGTTTGGTGGCATTTCATATGCTTGTTGAGTGCATTAGTTCCTGAAGAGTGAGTAGACAGTTCTCTGACCAGCAGTCTGTCTTAATGTGAACTCGTAGGGGAGAATTGATAGCATGAAACAGGAGCAGTGAAGCCTGTTTCAGAGGTGGTGAGGTTGTGTAGTCCTGAGACTCCTCATGGATCTGGCATGTTACAGGGTTTCCTCCAAGAGACTGTTAAAATATAATAGCACTGATCCTGTGGATTAGGGATGTGAATAGGTAACTGGTTAACTGGTTATGATAAGCATAGACAGACAGATAGAAAGGCAGGCAGGCACTTAGAGACCCATTCTTAGTCTCTACCATCTCAACCAATTTATTCAGACTGAAGTTTCACATGGTCATGGTAGCATCTATTGTAATTCCATCCCTGGAAAAAGACATGTAGTTTACAGCTGTCAACATGGATGTCTGTTTTCACATGGACATTTACCCCACTCACTGATATTTCCTCAGATTCATAATTAGCCCTGACCACTTTCAGTAGACTACTCGGTATAGGCATTGTTGCCACTCCCAGGGTCTTTAAAAAGGTGTTCTCTGTTGTAGCAACCTCGGTCAGAAGTTGTGGACTTCCTGTACCATGATGATGAGGTAAGAGAGAGAGAGAGCTTGTGACACACTGTCATGTGGGTTATAATCTAGTCCATGATACCGTTCACAACGTTATCCTTGATGATGGAGCTGGTGTGTCAGCAATGAGATTGCCCAGGTGGCAGTATACCCCAAGCTCAATTTTGTCAGCATGCAACTGTCTCTTTGAGAGTCCATCTGTCTGTGCATCTGTGAGTCTGTTTGTAGGAGCCATAGGAGCTAGGACCATCAAATTTTGGTATGCAGTTTCCTCTTACCCTGACTAAAACCATGGTCAGGGATTGGTTGTGCCCAGAAAATTTGAGTGCCGGGAATGGGACCATATTTCATAACATGGAAAGGGAAGGAGTAGGGTGGAGAGGGTGCAAAAGGGACGGGGACAGACAGGAGGATGCAATGCTGAGAGTGTCCACTGGGGGCAGCTGCAGCACAAAGAGAGTGGCCTTCACCAAGATGGGGCTTCATCATCTTGCTTTCCAGTACACTGGTATGGAGCTTCCCCTCCCCCTGGTATGGAGCCTTCCCTGCAAACTGTGTGGGGATCATTGGAAGGGGGAAACAGCTCCCAGAGCCTGCCCCCCCTGTGAAGAGCCTGCAGGCTGTGGGGGGCGTTGGAGGAGAGACTGCCCTCCAGACAGCCTGCAGGCTATGGAAGGACAGCTGCAGGGGGGAACAGCCCCTTGAGCTTGGCCCCTTCCCAGACAACTTTCAGGATGTGGGGGGGGGCACCCACTGGAGGAGGAGGTAGTGCCCCCAGCTTCGCCCTCCCCAAACAGGCAGCAGGCTATCCCTTTCTTCAATGCTCCTCACAGCCTGCAAGAGGGCTCCACCCCCGTCTTGAGCCTACCCACACCTCCCAACTCTCTGCCCTAAGCCACCCACTTCCTGCCTCTCCTTACTCCCAAACCCTCCCTCCAGCCTTCATTTAAAAAAAATACAATTATTTAAATAAAATGTACATTTTTCATCTATTTTTAAAAAAATCTTCAGTTAAAGACCTGAGCAACACTGGGTAAATCTTCCAGTACTTCATATTTCTGACTTCAAATACTGGAAAGATACATGCACATAAATAATGTATAGACATTCAGCAGATTACAAGCTTTCCAATGGTACCTTAAATAATTATTTTGCATACAGCATATTCCAGTTATGTCATATTTTATTCAGCAACATATTTTCATAAAGAACATGGGGTGCCTTTAGACATCTTGCTATTCACCAATCTCCATTGTGAAAACTGACTGTTCTTACCTTTTTCCCTGTCGTTTAACCAGTTATTGATCAATCACATGATCTTTCCTCTTATCCCATGACTCCCTATTTAATTTAAGAGCTTTTGGCGTGGGATCTTTTCTAAGTTTTTTTTTTTTAATCCAAATAGTATATGATTGAGTGCATTGCCCTTATCCACATGCCTGCTGACTGTGCCAAAGGTTGATGAGGCAAAAGCCCCATGTTGACTCTCTTTCAGCCTATGATGTTCACCTATGTGTCTGCTTATAAACAAATGCAGAAAGCCAATATCATTTTCCTGTTTCTTGTTTTGTTATGTATTGCTCTTTGGCATTATATTAGCTTTCTGCCTTTGTTTCCTTGTCTGTTCAATGGGCATAATAATAGTGACCCTCCTTGGGAAAGTTCTTGAAGGTCTCCAGCTGAAAAGCACTACATGATTGCTAAGTATTATTATGATAAAATCATTGTTGTTTAAAGCAAGATAAAAGCGTTAACCCATTCTTCAGTTTTTCAGAATTTTACTAAAACTAGAAATTTATCTTTTCAGATTACCTTGGGACAATACGCTTCGGAGTGATCACGGATAAACAAATTGCAAAGGAAATTTCGTTGACGCGCTCGGGAAGTGTATACCTTCATAGACACGTCAATACTTCACTTGTGAGTACTATTATTATTAGTTAATATTTATATTTCAGTAGCAACCAGAGACAAACTAGGTTGGACTGAATGTGCTGGGCACTATATGAACATAGAATATATGACAGTGCTTTAAAGAGCACTCATAAAGCTGTCACGTTTTCTTATCCAGTCACCCAGTTTTGTGAGATCTCTTTTGAGCACTAGACAATCACATGGATTTAACTATTTTGAGTAATTTTGTATCATCCTCAGATTTTGCCACCTCACAATTAACTCCCTTTTCCACATTATTTATGAATTTGTTGAACAGCACATGTCCCAGTACAGATTCTTAAGAGCATCCTGCTTTTTACCTCTCTCCATTATGAAAACTGACTATTCTGACCCTTTGTATCCTATTGTTTAACCAATTACTGATCAATGACCGTATCTTTCCTCTTCTATTATGACTGCCTACTTAGCTTTAGAACTTTTGTGTGATCATTCTATTCTTACGGTAGGTTCAACCAATTTGCCTACCACTGAAGTCAGGCTTACCAGCCTTTAATTGTAAAGGTCATCTATAGAGTCTTTTTTTTAAAATCAGCTTTACATTGACTATCCTCCAGTCATCTGATACAGAAATTGATTTAGACAATAGATTACATACCACAGTTGGTAGTTCTGGAATTTCGTATTTTTGTTCTTTCAGAAGTCTTGGGTCCTGGTCTCAGTGACTTAATTCTGTTTGTTTGATTAGTTTGTCCCAATCTCTTCTACTAACACCTCAGTCTGGGATAGTTCCTTAGATTTGTCATCTAGAAAGAATGGCTTAACTGTGGGAAATACCTCTCATATCTTTTGCAGTGAAGACCTATGTAAAGAATACACATAGCTTCTTCATTATGGCCTTTTCTTCCTTGAGTATTCCTTTGGCACCTCAGTTGCCCAGTGACCCTGTGATTGATTGATTGATTGTTTGGTAGGCTTTTTACTTCTGATGTACTTAAAAAATAATTTGCCATTTAGGTTTTTTTGCCTTTTGCTAGTTGCTCTTTTTGTTGTTGTTTTGGCCTGCCTAATTATACTTGCTAGAGTTTTTCCTTTTATGACAGGATACTGATTGTGGAATCACTGTGTCCCCTAAACTCTTCAGCCTGGGCTGCCTCTCACAATGGTTTACAAGTGACCAGCAGCAAACCTCTCCAGGAGCTGTTGTAACACAGCACAACTGAATGTGGGGCCCCATACCCAGCTATATTTTATGAATGCTCCCAGAGCTGCTCATGAATCACAGAGAAAGGCACCAGCCATATCCCCTCAGCTCTCAGCCTTGCACTGCCCAGGATGATGTATTAATGTATTAATTAGCTCACAGCTTAATCAATGGAAATTAGATATACACCAGCCTTTGACACGTGAGCCATTTAACAGACACTTCAGGCAAACTCACTAGTAAAGATAAACAGTCAAACAAATTTATTAATTACAAAAGATAGATGTTAAGTGACTAAGTGTTGAGCAAAAAGAGTTAATTACCAAAAGACAATAAAATATCATCATGCTGTCTAAACTCTCAAGCCTATTAAACTGGGCAGCATCTAAATTAAGTAGTTTTTTCTCACCCTACTAGATATTGTAATTCACAATGTACAGATTTGTCCCTTAAACTAGGAACAGCCTTCTGCTGAAGCCTTCAATCTTCTTCTCAGTGTCCTTGTTGCTTACAGCATAGGTGGGAGAAGAAAGACGAGGCAAAGCATGGGCCTGCTGTGTTTGGTTTTATACCCTTAGTTCATGTTCTTGCAGAACACAAGTCCAGGCATGTTTCATGGGTATTGCTGAGTCCCAGGCAAGGTGAAGCAATTCCCCTGATATGGCTCTCTTTCTCAACAGTGGTTGTTGAGGGCTGTTTAATACCCTGCCTGGGCATTGGTTACTTTCCAGGCTGTTGTCTGTAGGGAGCTAAATAGCTGGCTGATTTGTCCAATGTATATCATGTTTTAGTGCCAACCATGCAACGTTGTCAGTCCCCATAATACACGAGGTTCGAAGGGATGCCGGAAAGAATGAGACCACAACTGGGGGTTTAAAAAACAAAGATTGATTTTATTTTGATGAGGACTCTGGCGCCTAATGACTGTAAACTTAGTCACATGCACGGTCGCCAGACAATCATCAGAATGAAAAACAAACAAATCACCAAACAATATAAAACAATTCCCTGAGGCTTTTCTAAATCATAATAATTCCCAATAACTGCCCAGGGGTTAGAAACAGTCGAACTCACACTGATATTGTTCATAAATCTAACCATTTACACTATATTACACAAAGAACAGTTAAAACCCTTAACAACCACTATTTAAAAACTAACACAATAACTCTTAAACTACTGTTACTAAATAAACAATGAGGGGAAATGAAAATCAATTGGGATAGGGATAATTGCGGGGAAGAGGCGTCATACCGGTTCTGGAGACAGCAGGAACACGAGTACCAGCCACATGCTCACAAACTTTCTCCACTCAGGTCGACCCACTCGAGGTATGCTCAATGAGACACGAGGGGGGGGGGGGGGGGGGGCGCAAGGCGACTGGGTGATCAGGCCAGATGTTCACTCCATGTGATTCCCCGCGTGAGAGGGTTCGGCTGCCTGTTTTATTGCCTGTGGACTTATCACCCCATAGGTTGGGTTTTGCCGCAGTGCGTGGAGTAAGCAGGCCTGACCACCAGTCAGTCCATTGGCTGATCTTTTACTGCAGTGGGTGGAGCGAGCAGGGGAAGATAATTAATTTATATGCCCTTATATGGGAAGCGCTCCGCCTCATAGACAGAGCCCCCTATACCAGCCTTTGAGGTATAACAGGCTGTGGCTCACCTGCGACGGGCAGCCAATGTTGATGTTCTGTCTCGGACAAACATAATCTCATAACAGTGGGTTTCAGCAGATTCATTTCCCCAGATAACTCATATGCCATGGTCCATATGCAAGATCACCATTTTATATGTATAAAAATATGAGGACTATGGGAGTTGCAAGAATTTCACTCTTGTGACTGTTCCTTCTAATTTTGGTTTAACTAGCTTTCTCATTTTTGTGCAGTTACCATTTTTGAAGTTAAATTCTACTATGATAGATTTCTTTTATATTTTCTCCCCTAGAAAGTAAAAAGTTAAATTTACTTTTTTTATGGTCCCTTTTATTGGGAGGGTCAGCTATATTCTCCTTTTGGACCAGATCCAGTGTGCCACTTAGGACTAACTCAAGTCTAGCCAGTGATCAGAACCAAAATCAGGAGACAGGCTAGGAAGACCAGTGGTGGAGTCTGAATCAGTGAATGAGAGCGAGGAACTACCTCCATGCTTTAATAATTTGCCTGGGTTTATAGTCTTCAAGGTTTATAGTGCTCTTCCTTGGCTGCTGAATGGCAGCCTGAATGTGCCAGTCATCCTCTTATCATAACTAAAAGCCAGGTAAGGGTTTGATTGTGCCAGGAAAACGGGGTGTGCCTGAAGTGGGATTGCTTCTCATAAAACCATACAGAAAAGAGACAGAATCACCAGGAAGTAAGGGGAAAGTACATAGTTTGCTGCATTCCTCAATCTGGCTGGGAGCAAAGGGGGCAGCGAATTAACCTGGAGCTGCCCCAGCCAGGGACATGCACCCCTCCCCCAGCTGTGCCCTCTGGAACTGCAGCAGCCATGGAGAAGCGCTTCTCACATGACTCCAAACTGCTGTGGTGAGAGAGGGCTATGGTGTCCTCTCTCCGCAGGACAGCCTGCATACTGAATCCTTCATCCCCAGCCATACCCTAGAACAGTGATTCAAATGAAGAAAAACAAAAGTTGATTTAAGGATCTGAGGAATGACGGGTAAATCTTCTAGTCAGATCATAAATGAGAAATCCACTCTGGGGTGTACCCTTCCATATTCTTTACATCCCTTTTCATAGATTCCTAGATTAGAAGGCCAGAAGGGATCATTGTGATCAGCTACCTCTTTTATAACAAAGGCCATAGAACTTCCCTAAAATAATTCCTAGGGTGTATCTTTTAAAACAGGGGTGGTGAATCTCAGACCTGGGGGCCGGATGTGGCCTCTATCTTGACTGGATCCGGCTCCCGAGGCTCAGCATTAGGGAACATGCACTGGCACTCCAGCCACTTACTCACAGGGCTGGAGCACACTAAGTCTACTAGCCTGGGCCCCCTAGGCTCTGGTGTGCGAGGGGAATGTGGAGAGCGTCTTTCTCCTTCTCAGTCAGGGGCGTCTCACTTTGCTTTTCACTTGTGTGTGGCCCCTGGATGATTTTTCTCTGGGTCAGCAGCCCCCAACCCAAAAAAGGTTCCCTGCCTCTGTTTTAGAAAAACATCCAGTTTTGGTTTTAAAATTGACAGCGATGGAGAGAGAATACATTACAACTTTTGGTAAATTGTTCTAATGGTTAATTATTCTCACTGTTAGAACATTTACACCTTATTTCTAGTCTGAATTTGTCTAGCTTAGACTTCTAGACTTCCTGCCCCTCCGCTAGACCTCCCTCTTCCTGGGCGCTCTAGTCCAGGAACACCCGTGGTCCAACATCTGGACCACAGATGGTGCCAGACCAGGCAGTCCGGGTTAAGGGAAATACAACCTATAGCAGCAAAACATAAACCTCAGCCTATGCTAACTCTGTCATTTCTCTTTTCTGATTAAAAACTGGAAATCCCAGTGAAGTGGAGAATTTCCATCAGAAAAAAATGAGAAGTAGTCAGAAGAGATTAGTAAATTTCCCAAAGAGAGATGGGTGCATCCTAAAAAGTGGTTCTCCAGAAGATGAGAGCACCAAGAACAGTTTCTTAATAATGCAGAACTTCGATAAATTGCCTCGCCTTTCCTCCATCATTTTGAGTTAACTTCTGCTGAGCATGATTTTGTTTGAATGATGGTGAATGTTATCTTGAAAGTTTTGATCCTGAAAAGTCATGTAACAATTTCTAGGAAGAAATTCAACAGACATTCTAATTCTAAAATAAAATATGAAATCTTCACACTTCTAAACGGGAAAAAATAAGTAACATTCTTTATCTTTCTGGTATGTTTACATTTGTAATTAGCGGTTATCATTATTTTAATATAATTGTGTTAAATCAAATTTTAGTGACCCAGATTTTGATAACATTATTTGTACAAACATCCTGTATGCATTTCATCAGTTTACAATGCAGATAGGAGAAAGAGAGTATAATTAGAAAAATGCAGATTTTAATAAGTTTCTAATTACAAGAGAAGTAAATGATTATTCTGTCATCTTTGATTATAATAATCTGTTCATATGCTGTGATGATTTAGCTGGGCAAAAGTGGTTGCTGCTATATATAGGCATGCTCTTATTTTCTTTAATAATAAACAAACATGTTGTGGTGTTCAATTGCTTTGATTTGCAGATGTTCACTGGGAGCCTCAGAACTATGCACAGTCTATAAAGTGAGAGGAATTCTAAATAAAGGCAGATTAAATTGTTTTTTAACAGTGTTCAAGGTCAAAGTTATTTTCTGAACTGAATTGCCAAAACAGTGTTCATCTCTTTTGCCAAATAATTGTTTTAATACTTCATAGTAACCCAGAAGGAAACATTATAATATATGTTGCCATCAAATTTAAGATAAACTAACTTTTGGTTACCTAGGAGTGTGAGGGAAGATACAAAATGTAGACAGTTTTGCAACTTTCAGTATTAAGAAATGTCTCATGGATTGGTAATAGCTGTCAATAGAAATATTAATTGTGTATAATGTATTTTTCCTTGGTTCAAAGCTAACATGTGGTGCACATTGAGTTCTAAAGATACCTGATCTATTACACTCTTAGAAAAATTACTTAAATGAGTTAACTCAAAAACACTAATCCTAGTGTCAGCTATGTTCATGGAGGCCTGGTAGCTGGGAATGTTAATTTTAGTTGAAATTTATGAGGCTGGGGAAGCAATTAAGGACCTGAAATACAACTTTCAGAATAGCCATTCTGTGTGAAGGCCTTATCTCTGTATATGTCCTCGTTAACTGTGGAAATGATATGGAGATAAGGAAGGTATTTCTGGTTTATTCTACTCAAATTATGAAGAAAGGTTTTCATGTATCACCTGAAACAGTAATTGGTGTCTGTGCAAACCTGTGATAATGGTGCATGATAAACAGCATGCTTTAATTCATGAAAGTGACTCCACAATTTAAATTCTTTTTTTAGAACATTGAATTAGTTAATCACACACAGTGATACCAAAGCTATTGAATTGCAGTCCCAGCTACATCAGGATCTTAAAGGAGATGCATTTAAAGGGAGTCAATGTGATGAAATTAGAGACATAGTGGGGAGGTTTTTCTGGTATCCCACCATAATGTATCAAGGTGAGTGGCACTATTAATCTGGAAACTGGGGTCTTTCACATTAGTGAAAATAAACATCAGAAGAGATTTGTAGCAGGTGTAGTGGAGAAATACAAAATTCCAAAGTCACTTGAAAACATTTTGGAAATTTTTTTGAAATGGATGCATGTTGATGGTTCAGAGTTTCCACACACTTTTATAGAAATGTTCACAAACCTCTAGTTGGTAGCACATTTGTTGACAAGACTAATGTGATACTTATACTTTCTGAAGTCAAAATTCTTTTTGCTTGTAAATAAAATCAAACATACTAAAGGATTATAATATGATTGTTTATTTCTAGTCTAGTGTATCTATTTTAGTCTGTCAAACATATTGTGAAAAAAGGCAGATGGCATTAATTTGTTCAGCCCCAAACCAAAGTTTAAGAATCATTGCTTTAGGCAGGGCCCTTGTTCTTTTCATTTCATTATCAGCATTCAGCAAAGAAGTAATAATAGAACAAGATTGAGGGAGTGCAGAGAGCATTAATTCAAGTTGTAATCAGAGCTACTAGATACAGAGATAAAAGCATTTACCAACATTGAGACAGCTTGACTGGAAAACAGAAGAATAAACGGAAACAATAAATTACTTTACAATTTGTTTTTGACTACCATTTGATAAATCTTAATTGAGAATTGGAAATACAGTGCACGAAACTTCAGAGTGAGATTCTACTCATGGTACTACTCATTGGGGAGGCACAAGGAAGAGTATCTAGGGAAGTATACGTGGAATGATGACTAGCATGAGAATGGTTCTTGAATAATGTCAGTAAGTCAGAGCTGTAATAGTGCCAACATATATATAACAATATATGTATATGTACATTTTATGTACCTCATTCATTAGTAAACAGTGTATTTAAATAAATGAGGAGGATTAATTATGATTTTTCCCTTTCAAGATTTATCCAAGTGAAGTCATGAACTACACAGCTGAGAATATTTGCAAGTGGGCTTTAGAAAATCGAGAGACACTTATACGTTGGTTGAGACCACATGGAGGAAAAAGCCTTCTACTAAACAATGAACTGAAGAAGGGACCAGCATTTTTCTTATTTATACCCTTCAATCCCTTAGCAGAAAGTCACCCTCTTTTAGATGAAGTGAGTGAAATATATTATTTTTATTGTGATAGATCATGCAGGCCTCAGTCACAGATCAGAATCCCATTGTTCCGGCACTATGCAAACAAAAAAAGGTCTGTTTGAGTGGGTTTACTTCTACTTTTTGTTCCATAAAGATCTAACTTGAAATTGTATGTATTGATACAGATTGGGTGCCAACTATGTGTTACTTGATGCAGGGCCCGATTAAGTTCTTTGTAGGCCCTAGGTACTCTCATAATCATAGGTCTTTAAATTAGAGAAATGCTCTATCGCCTATACACCTAAAAGTTAATTGTATGTTATACATGTATGTTTTTTGTTGACTAAAGCTAACAAATTATTAAGTTTGATTTAGCTGTTTTCTTTTCTTATTTTCAATTCAATTATTAATTTTTGTAGGCCCTAAAGGTTTTTCTTGGGCTCTATGCACTGTGCCTATTGTGCTTAATGGGTAATGTGGCCCTGACTTGATGTTCCAGAAAAATGTAAAATGCTTATACTGGGTCTGATTTTTCTTCCCACCATGCACCACCCAAAGCTTGTGGTTTGTGAATGCTAATGGAAACTGTTATAGATCCTAATGATCATGAAGGACAGAGAGAGGGGAATGGTTATTATGTACTAGGTACTATGTTATGGTTGAATACTGCATACAGATGTGGTTGCCTCATCTGAAAAAAGATATATTGGCATTGGAAAAGGTTCAGAAAAGGGCAACAAAAAAGCTTAGGGGTTTGGAACAGGTCCCATATGAAGAGAGATTAAAAAGACTAGAACTTTTCAACTTAGAAAAGAGGAGACTAAGGTCTATAAAATCATGACTGGTGTGACAAAAGTGAATAAGGAAAAGTTATTTACTTGTTTCCATAACATAAGAACTAGGGGTCACCAAATGAAATTAATAGGTAGCAGGTTTAAAACAAACAAAAAGAAGTTTTTCTTCATGCAGCACACAGTCAACCTATGGAACTCTTTGCCAGAAGAGGTTGTGAGGACCAGGACTTTAACTGGGTTCAAGAAAGAACTAGATAAATTCATGGAGGCTAGGTACATCAATGGCTGTTTGCCAGGATGAGGAGGACTGGTGTCCCTAGCCTCTGTCAGAGGCTGGGAATGAGTGACATGAGAGGGATTGCTTGAAGAGTCCCTGTTCTGTTCACTCCCTCTGGGGCACCTGGCATTGGCCACTGTCACAAGACAGGATACTGGGCTAGATGGACCTTTGGTCTGACTCAGTATGGCCATTCTTATGTTCTTATTCAATTGATTTTTACTTATTGAATTAATTAAGTCAACCTAATGTGGCCATTGAGAAATTGAAAGGATTTATTATAGTTCCTTCCAGTAGAAAATATAATAATTTACGAACATTTAACCCTATAAATTCCAGGGTGGTCCTTGCTATTATATTGGAAAAAGCAATATCAGATTATAAAGAAAGATTGAAGCTATATTTTGTGTTTGTAATTCATATCCATCTTGCACACTTTTTTTCTTGCAGCCTTTTTAAAGGGGGCATTTCTGGTCCTTGGAGTGTTTTTTCAGTAGACTGAATGGCATGCCTTTTTATTTATGAAATAATCTTCATTGTAATGTCACTTTTGTATTTAAGATATGTTGCTATCTTTGTACTGTTCAGCATCTTTAAGGCATTGTTTCATTTGCTTGAATCTGGTTAAAATCAAATTAGTATGTGTACACAGGATTAAGTGGCACTTCTATAGAATTATTGTAAATTACCAGTTTCAGTTTCAATAATATCTAATCTCAAAGTGGGCATATGAGACTCAAAATTGCTTGGTTTATAATCCAGAAATGTGTCCTTGAGTTGGCAGAGCATGGTTCTTAGTCAATTCTCTCAGCTAAGGAAATTAAACCAATAACATTCCAAGATTCTTGCTGTGATTAGTGGTCTGAGCATAGGATTGGGAACTTGGAATGGATCAGCATTAGTTTTAATTTTGGTTTTAGTTTTCCTAATGTAAATAATTTGCAGTAATCAAAGGTTGGTGTTTCAGATTTGTGTGGGGAGATGTAAATTTAAATTGAAAACAATTACAATTCTCATAATATTTCATTACATAAATAGACATTCATGAAGTGCTGGGTATCCGTGTGAAACTACATCAAAACTGTTAAAAACGAGTAGTCCTGTGACACCTTAGAGACTAATACATTTATTAGGTCATGAGCTTTCATGGGTAAAGCCTTCAGCAGATGAGTTAGAGTGGATACTGTGAGTTATCAGGTGTGTTATCTATACTTTCACAGACAAATCCAACTTTGGGGGACATATCAGTAGTATAGCTGAAACAAGAACTCGTGATCTTTTTACCAATACAATGTTACTGTTGTTATTGTGAGCATACCCAAGACCTAGACATGACAGGTTCCACTCCCGAAAGTCTTGCATTTACTGGCACACATCTCTGCATACATCTTTCTAGTTTATACGTTTTATAGTAGCATATTCTGTTTGCACACACAGTTATTGATAACCTTGTAATTCCTTATGTTTATTACAGACTGCAGGGTTGTTGTAAAGGGGCATTTGAGCCAGCAATTTAAAGTTGTAGCATATTTTCCAGTTCTGCTGGTACTATTTGTTTTGTGGGGTGATAGACTGTGGGAAGCATAATATTATGGCAAGTAATGGGTAAAAGTTTGGTTCTGGATCCAAACTTCGTCAAAGTTTAGTGGACTTCAGTTCTGAGGTTCTTGTTTGGGCCATTGAGAAGAGGAGGAAGGTTCACGTTGCAAAGTTCATGGTTTTCAGATACAGAACTCATTACAAAAAGGGATCTGAACTGAGAAGTTTTGCTCTGGATCCCATCGTTTACAACTGGGGACGATTTAGACCCACCATTTTTATTTGGCTCCTTTTCTAGTTGTGCGCTTCTGGGATTTCTTCAGGTCACAAAATACCTTATCTTTGAACTAATTAGCTTTTGCAGTATCTGTTTCTAGTTTTGTCTCTAGTGAAGTCAGCAATTTCCATAGTTTCCTTATTGCATATGGCACTGTACCAGTCAGTTTTCCTACAAAATCATTTGCAAGACTGAAAAAGAAGATTGGAAGGGAATTGAAGTGATTCCTGTAACAAACTACCCTCAGCATAAAGCAAGCTGAATTCAGCCTTTTTTGGCACAAATAATACACTCTAGTAATATTTAGGGATGTGAACATGAACCCGTGTGCACAGTTTACCAATGAGCTTGGGCTCATCGATTAAAGTGCATGGTTATATGCAGCCCTCCATCCCACACTGCTGCTTCTGGGAGGGAGAGGACAGTGGGAGCTGATGCTCATGGGGAGCCTACAGAGTCATCAGCGCAGAGGGTGGACAGCTCCATGGGAGCCTTCTTCCCCCACATATAAACCTTTAACAGTTGAAATTTTCAGTAGTTCCACCTTTTATCTAAATGAATTTTAACATACCCAGTAATATTAGACATAATCTATTTCAATAAAGTAAGAGTAGTACACCACGTCAATTATCTACTTTCTGATATAATGAATTTTAATTTAAGAGAAAATATTTATTTATGTCAAAGCATTAAATGAGATACCGGGCCTCTAGATTGCTGTAACATGACAGTGCAATAAAGGGGGCATAAGAAGCTACAGTATATTATGCAACTTGTTTACCACAAAGAGAAATTGTTACTGCAGCCAGCAGCCTTTGTGAATTTCATCTCTCTCTGAATCTGCCTGTAGGGCATTCACATAGCATGAAGCTGTCAATTTGTTGTATGTTAGCTCTGTTCAAAGAACTACAGATTTGTCTTATTAGAACTGATTGAAATAAGATTTTATAATGCAACTATGCTTTTCAGTTCAGAAAAATAATCAGTCTTCTCCTACATCTGTTCACATTCTTTAGTTATGATACAGCATTAAGGAATGAGCCTGTACAGAACTTAATCTGATGTTTTTTAGTATATACTAATAAAAGGTTGTACCGATGATTTCTCCAGTCTCCGAGGGATAGCCGTGTTAGTCTGTAACTTTAAAAACAAAAAGTCATCCTGTGGCACCTTAGAGATGAATAAATATATAGGATCATAAGCTTTAGTGCATAAAACCCACTTCATCAGATGAATTGGAGTGTGTCATGCCACGACCCTAGGCAGGGAGGCAGCTCCTTTTATCAACGAAAAAGCACAAACAAAAATATGGCCCATCCAGCTGAAGTTCCCATTTGGGGCCAGTTATAAATGTAAGTATGGCCTGCTTGGCCAAGGTTTACAGTTCAAGTTCCTCTATAAGTGGACATACAGCCTGCACGGTCCAAGTTCACAGTTCAGGGCTTCTCTACCCACAAAGGTAGACACAACTCCTGGTCCTAATTATGGAGGGAGGCGAAGTCCAACAAAGGAAAAGGAGTTGGGGGGAACGGGCCTTCGCTCCCCACCAGGTCCCAACCCAGGGCCCTAAGAGCAGGGAAGCAATCCACTGCCCAGTTGGTGGGGTCACCGCCTGTAACACACCAACCCACGGGGCCTTTGAGAGCAACCCCTGCCCTGGGCCACTTCCTGCCCACTTCTGACGTCTTCTGTGGATGATTTGACCATCCACAGAGTACGAGGTGTCTTCAGTGTCTCTTGGGCTCGCTTCTGTCTACGGCAGGTCGTGGGAACTCTGGGTTTGTAGCTGTAGTCGCCACGGCCCAGATGGCTGGGGGAGGTGAGCTCTTGCCCTGAAGCCACAGTGAATGTAGCGGTTGAGGATCCGTGTCTCCTGATTGCTCGGCCCCTACCTACAGTCTGGAAGCCTGGGCCATGGTAGCTCAGCGCGGGCTGGTAGCCCCTCTGGGGGCTGGTGGAGTCGGCATGCCAGCCCTCCTTCCCCTGGAGCTGTCCAGGGTGGCTCCAGCCTCGGCATTTTTGCCTTTGCCTCTTCTGCTGCTCCGCTCCTTCCGGCCCTGCCTTCCTCTGTCTGTGCCGGCCCAGGGCTGTTTATGCTGCCGGCTGGCCGGGAGCTTGAACGGCAGAGCA